TGGAGAATATTCAAGTTCCTGAACATATTCAATAGGTGAAGAATATTTAAGTTCCTAAACATGTTCAATAGTTGGAGAATATTCAAGTTCCCCCTACACATATTCAATAGGTGGAGAATATTCAAGTTCCTAAACATGTTCAATAGTTGGAGAATATTCAAGTTTACCCTAAACATATTCAATAGGTGGAGAATATTCAAGTTCCTAAATATATTCAATAGGTGAAGAATATTCAAGTTCCTAAACATATTCAATAGCTGGAGAATATTCAAGTTCCTACACATATTCAATAGCTGGAGAATATTCAAGTTCCTAAACATATTCAATAAGTGGAGAATATTCAAGTTCCTAAACATATTCAATAGCTGGAGAATATTCAAGTTCCTAAACATATTCAATAGCTGGAAAATATTCAAGTTCACCCTAAACATATTCAATAGCTGGAGAATATTCAAGTTCCCCCTTAACATATTCAATAGTTGGAGAATATTCAAGTTCCTAAACATGTTCAATAGCTGGAGAATATTCAAGTTCCCCCATAACATATTCAATAGCTGGAGAATATTCAAGTTCCCCCTACACATATTCAATAGGTGGAGAATATTCAAATTCCTAAACATATTCAATAGCTGGAGAATATTCAAGTTCACCCTAAACATATTCAATAGGTGGAGAATATTCAAGTTCCTAAACATATTCAATAGCTGGAGAATATTCAAGTTCATAAACATGTTCAATAGCTGGAGAATATTCAAGTTCATAAACATGTTTAATAGGTGGAAAATATTCAAGTTCCTGAACATATTCGATAGGTGAAGAAAATTCAAGTTCTTGAACATAGGTGAATAATATTCAAGTTCCTGAACATGTTCAATAGATGGAGAATATTCAAGTTACTTCTATACATATTCAATTTGTGAAGAATATTCAAGTTCTAAACATATTCAAGAGGTGGAGAATATTCAAGTTACTCCTAAACTGTACTATATTCTATTTCAATTTTTAATTATTGTTTATCTTTCAGGATTTTTCATTAGTTTCCTACAAAATACACTAAGCTGGGTGCACTGGAGTTTCATCTATAGCCCTCTTGATCTAAAGGGAATGTGATCTAAAAGAATCTGACCTATACGTGGACTCTGATCTAAAACTTAACTTTCGAATAAAATTTTTTATCTGACTATGAATAATAATGAATATATTTCCAAAAAGTGTAGAATTAGAGCTAAAATGTGTTAAATTTGATCTAAAATATGTAGAATTTGATCTAAAATGTGTAAAACTAGATTTAAAATGTAAAGAATAAGAGTCTAAAATGAACAAAACAGCATCTTTAAACTGTAGGGTTCAGGAGCACTATGAAGAAGGTTAGATGTAAGAAGGGCATAGGTTTGAGTAGAAATCTTTCCTAACCTGAACCTTACTCATCTCTAACCTGAACCATTCTCATCCCTAACCTTAACCATACTCATCCCTAACCTTAACCAGACTTAATCCTAACCTGAACCCTACTCGTCTCTACCCTGAACCCAACTCATCCCTAACCTGAACCTTACTCATTCTTATCCTAAACCATTCTTAACCCGAACCCTATTCAATTCTATCCTGAACCCTACTCATCTCTAACCTGAACCCTACTCATCTCCAGTAAGGTATGAACCTTCCACATTTTGTAAACTTTTAGATCAGAGTCTACCTTTTTTAGAACAAAGTCTACACTTTAGATAAAATTCCATATTTTTAAAAATAAAGCGCAGAATTTTTTGAGATTTAAGGCGAAAATTGTATTAAGAAAATTTAATTTGAAAAAAAATACTTTAGATCAGATTCTACATACTTTATGTCCAATTCTACATATTTTAGAGAAAATTCCCAATCATGGGAGAACAATTTAGATGTATTCTCAGTACTTAATGTACATTAAAACTGAAATTTGAAAAAAATATTTTAGAACCAGTTCAAATACTTCATTTACCTTTTTGATAATAACATAGAAAAAATATTCATTCATTTAAAGACAGATATAAGTTATATTTCAAATTTAAGTTTTAGATCTAATTTCACAATTTTCCAGAAAAAATGGAATTTAATCTAATTTTTTTTAGATCAAAGTCCACGGATCAGATTCCCTTTAGATCAAAAGGGTTATAGATTGATTTCCTATGCACTAACAAATTTTTTTTAAAGATTGAATTCTCATTAGACCAGATTACGCTTAGATCAAATTCGCTTTAGATCAAAAGGTTTATAGATCAGATTCCTGAAAAGGAATCCAAATTGTCTGGGGGGGGGGGAGGGGAGGGGTTACATTTTTTCTTTCTGGGACCTGAAAACCCCCTTGAGACCATATATTTTAGTGATCCAGGGGGGGTGCTGAGCCCCATAGCCCCACCTGGATCAGTTAAATAGGTTCTCCCACTTAAAAACTTTCAATAGAACAAGTTTATCAAGTTAAGTTTATTCAACAAAATTAAACTTTAATTTAGTTTACCTTAACTTCTAGAACTTTGTTACACTCATAAATAGCTGAATCATACTCATGAAATCTAAACAATCACGCTTTATAACAAATGTCATATTTTTGAACAAGGTAATTTCTTTAAGAGACTGTTGACATATTTCAAGGGACCCATAATTCTGAAAAGTGGCATGACCTGTTTAGAATTGAATCCTTTGTCTGAGGAACAATTACAAAAGTGAATCGTGCATATAACTCATTACATTGGAGGCCAGTTGAAGTTACGTCGACAAGATCCTTTAAAGAAGGATTGTAAAGATTATTGCTGGTTGTGTGCAGGATAACGGGAAAATACGTCAAAAAGATCCTTTAAAGAAGGATTGTAAAGAAGATTGCTGGTTGTGTACAGGATAACGGGAAAATACGTCGACAAGATCCTTTAAAGAAGGATTGTAAAGATGATTGCTGGTTGTGTATAAAGGGAAAATACGTCGACAAGATTCTTTAAAGAAGGGTTGTAAAGATGATTGCTGGTTGTGTATAGGATAACGGGAAAATACGTCGACAAGATTCTTTAAAGAAGGATTGTAAAGATTATTGCTGGTTGTGTGCAGGATAACGGGAAAATAAGTCGACAAGATCCTTTAAAGAAGGATTGTAAAGATTATTGCTGGTTGTGTACAGGATAACGGGAAAATACGTCGACAAGATTCGTTAAAAAAGGATTGTAAAGATTATTGCTGGTTGTGTGCAGGATAACGGGAAAATAAGTCGACAAGATCCTTTAAAGAAGGATTGTAAAGATGATTGCTGGTTGTGTACAGGATAACGGGAAAATACGTCGACAAGATCCTTTAAAGAAGGATTGTAAAGATGATTGCTGGTTGTGTATAGGATAATGGGAAAACACGTCGACAAGATTCTTTAAAGAAGGGTTGTAAAGATGATTGCTGGTTGTGTATAGGATACCGGGAAAATACGTGGACAAGATTCTTTAAAGAAGGGTTGTAAAGATAATTGCTGGTTGTGTACAGGATAACGGGAAAATACGTCGACAAGATCCTTTAAAGAAGGATTGTAAAGATGATTGCTGGTTGTGTACAGGATAACGAGATAACGGGAAAATACGTCGACAAGATCCTTTAAAGAAGAATTGTAAAGATTATTGCTGGTTGTGTACAGGATAACGGGAAAAACTTTATTGAACACTGAGTCCGAGGTTGGATGAATGAATGAATCGGAAGGATAAACAAGGAAAACAATATAAAAATAATCTAATTTACCAAATCATTAAAATTGTTCAAAGCTGGAAACTTATGTATATTAGGTTAGTAGAAAAAAAACCATAAACACCTAGAAGGTTGCAACCTGATCGTTTAAATTTTTGACTAGCAGATCTAGCTGAAATATTCAAGGCCAACACAATCAGGTTACAAAGATATAATGAATTGAAAATTCGTGATAATGAGTTCCTTAGTCATACAAAAGGAATAAATATATGTTTTTAGTGTTCAAGAAAATCATTAAGATCGAGAAACGAAATAAATTGTTAGTAAACGAATAATAAAAAAACATTGGTTGAATTTTGTTTTCTTAGGCATGCCTTTAAATTCAATATGCTTATCAATTTTAAATTAGCAAGAAAAGGTTTCGGGAGCCTTAAATATAAGTAAACAGAGACCAGATTTAATGAAGACATAATTGAACCGTGTAGTCTAAGTTGAACCACTTCTCTTGTGCACTTGGTCAAGCTGGAGATAAGTGGTTCAATTTAGTCTACGCCGTATGAATCATGACTAGCTTTCATTCAAGCTGGTCCCAGAAGTAAACATTTTGTACAATCGTCTTTGTTTTCTCATCCTTTATGAGAAGCCCTGTACCTGAGGTGTACAGCTGCAATATTGAGAGCACATGGAACCTCCACCTCACGAACCCTAAAAAACAAGGATTCATTTATTCAATTTTAAGATAACTGTTATCCCGCGCTTTTATTCACAATTTCATAATCTTGTCCCAAGGACAAAAAGTCAAATTTTATACCGGCATAGAAGATTTCCCTTTTTATTTCGCGGATTTTAATAAAAATCCCACATTTTTATGAAGCTTAAAAAAATGTGGAACTAACATCTACTTTTTTACTCTGCAGAGGTTTGGTCTATCACCATCATCAAATTTTTAATAAATTTATATATCTGTCTTATGTTATCATTTATAAAATTGTGCTTTTTGTTGGAATAAGAATTCCGGCCAAAAAAAAAAATGTCCCGCATAATAACACACCACAGTTGCATAAATAGATATAATCAAACCATACAATTTTACTTGTATGGTATTACATACTAATTTATCATACTACAGAGTACAGGGTGTCTCAATAAACATGGGAACTAAATGACGGATAAGAAATCGTCTTGTGTTGTATTGTTATTCGGCAAATCATTGCTTGATAAAAAGTGAAGAGGAAGAACTTTACTTGGTTTGTATACATGAACTTTTATTTTTACTTGTTAATTAATCTCTAGATTTATAACAAGAGGAGAACAAACATTATTTAATCTCGAGATTAAGAAAAATACTGGATCAAGTATTTATCCTGATATCCACTATTTAAAAAATTCCCAGCTCCGCAGAATTAAGCAATAGAGACGTAAAAAGTAAATGTCTCTTTATCAAGATTTAAAAACGACAAATCTTTTTCTAGTTGTTACTCAGTCTTATTTTTGTAAACGGTGCTGTTGTGAATCGAACTTCCTATTCTTTCAAAACAGAGGCCAAATTAAAAAAAATTTGAGCCGCGGCTTAAATTTGAGACGCGACTCAAATATGATTGGTTTCGCTTAAAATTGAATTTAATACTCAAGGTTTAAGCCGGAAGGAGGATATACAAAGTGTATTACATCGATTATTTTATCAAAATTGAGTTAGCTATTAAATAGCATGAGTCCAAAACTGCAAACTAAAAAGCTACAGCGTAAATATAAAGTGACTAAAATTAAACCGGCGCGGAGTTTAACTTAAATATCCAATTCTCCAGAAATTAGGCTGTAGTAGCTAGGAATTTGTAAAGCAGGGGGGGCCGGGGGAGGGGCACAAATGTTAGAAATTCCAGATATTGGAATTAATGGAGCGTGCCGCATGCTAAATTTTTTTATTTCCTAAAAAACTCAAGAAGGGTCAAATTTAATGACTGAAGACTAAAAAACCTAAAAACTAGATTTTTAACAAATCACACATTACAGTTTATTAAGATAGATATTTTGTCTTTTTTGCATTATGTTTTCTTTCCCTTAAAGGGACTGTAAAGGAAAAATGAAAGGGGGTATAGGCTGAAAGCTAATCACTTTAGCTCTCGATCGCGACCCATGAAAGTTATATCTGATGTTCCTATCTCGAGAAATTAATTTACAACTTTTGTCAAATGTATACGAAAATTAATATTTATACAATTTTGTATAAAAGTAGTGGGTTTAAAAAGATCAAATTCAGCAAATATGCAACCAATCTGAAAACGATGATATCCCAGAGAAAGCTAATTGTAACTTAGGTTTACTCCAATTCTAGTTTTATATTTGTTATTTCTATTTTTTATAGATTTATTTTATAATATTATTTATAGGTCCGTATTGCTTGACCAGAAGTTCCACCAGTGGCAGTGCAGTAAAGTGGTCACTTGATACAGGCGGAGACACGTGACCAGTATACTGCTCTGCCATTGGTGATAGTTCTGGTCACGTGATTTAAGTTTAAGATTTTCTAAATTTTACATATATGAACTTTCGTATAATTTTAACACAGTTTAATATGAATTTCTCGAGACAGGTACATCAGATAAAACTTTCATGGGTCACGATCAAGAGCTAAAGTGATCAGCTTTCAGCCTATGCCCCCTTTCATTTGTCCCTTACAGTCCCGTGCTATTGGAAAGCTATTTGCAATTTGCATCAACACAAAATAACTGGAGGTTTAAGATGTAGAGATTTGACTCTTAAGTGAAACTATAAATAAATGTATTACTAATAAATTTTTAAATCACGAATAGTCAATACTTTTTTTTAATACAGAGAAAGTAAAGGATGTTTAAAGGATGATTTAAAGCTATAACTTAAAACTCGCGCATTCTCTAGTTTTGGTCAAAGCCGACTTTATACTTGACTTTCTAATTATCTTTTTTTCTGTAATCTTTTTCCAGATATCTTACATAATAATAATGAAAGGGTATTTGCACAAAGTAGCTTCATTCTTTTAACAGAAATTAAATTGTTCCTACTAAATAATTTAACACTTTTCTAAAAAAGATAAAAATTTAAAGTTATCTAAAAAAATATGAATGGTTTAGATTTCTTTACACAAGTTTATATTTTCAGAATAAAAGAGAAAATGAATTCAAGGTTTATTTGTTTTTCTGCTAAACAGATCTGTTTTCTATTCATTGTTCTCTTCCATCTAATACTTTTCTTATGGAGCCTGACATACACAAAAACACGGCTTTGTGGCAAACAAACTTAAAACTAGATTGATAACAAATAACAAACTAACTAACATCTGAACATAAACTTTTTACAAAGTGACTAACAGTTTGGTGACAAGCATTGCCTAAAAATTGCTAGGGGACAAAACTCGCCTGCCAACCAACGCCATAAAAAACAATTGCTTACTAAACAGTTTGGTAACAAACAATTGCTTATCAAGATGCATGCTAACAAAAAATCGTCTAAAAACAGATACGTAATAAACAATCATCTACCAAACAGATTGGTAATAAACACTCATCTACCAAACAGCTTGGTGCCAAACAATTGCCTACCAAATAGCTTGGTAACAAACAATTGCCTACCATACAGCTTGGTAACAAACAATTACCTACCAAACAGTTTGGTAACAAACAATTGCCTATCAAAAAGCTTAAAACAAACAATTAACAAACTCAGTTCGGTAGCAGACCCCTAATTATTAACAATTAGGGAGTAATTTTTTTGGACACCCCTGTATTCATAGATTTATTTAGCCAAAGTACAATGCTTGTCAGAAATGATAATATTATCTGATCTTATCATTAATAAGGTGTATTCACAATCTCATCAAAATTCCACGTTAGCACAAAACTATCAAGTTCTGACTGATATTCAAGCAATCAATTATTACAGATACTAGGCTTCCAGGGTGTTTCGCGCTCATATTCGATTTTAAATTTTAATGTGAGGTGAGGTGAGATCCAAACAATATTTGGGACCAATAGGTTCAGCCGTTTTGTCTTTTAGTGTACACAAACATACAAACCAAAAAACATTCAAAGTATATTTATATACTTTGAAAGTACATTTATACTTTATACTTCAAAATATTTATATACTTTAAATGTCTAAATAAAAATCATAAATGTTGTTAACCCCCCCCCCCCCCACTCCTACTCATGTCTTCCCTTTATCATCTAAATAGTAAAATAAGTTCATAGAAAGGACCAGGATATGATTAAAAGCTGATGAGCTGCCTTTACTTTTCATTTGTGATCATTTCCACTTTTATTATTACTATTCTACTACTTATTCTCTTCTATTCTACTCCCTCCTATTCTCAGTATTCTCTTCTATTCTACTCTCTCCTATTCAGTGTATTCTCTTCTATTCTACTCTCCTATTCTCTGTATTCTCTTCTATTCTACTCCCTCCTATTCTCTGTATTCTCTTCTATTCTACCCCCTCCTATTCTCTGCATTCTCTTCTATTCAACTCCCTCCTATTCTCTGTATTCTCTTCTATTCTACTCCCTCCTATTCTCCGTATTCTCTCCATTCTAATCCCTTCTATTCTATGTGTTCTCTTCTATTCTACTCCCTCCTATTATCTGTATTTTCTTCTATTCTACTCCCTCCTATTCTCCGTATTCTCTTCATTCTAATCCCTTCTATTCTATGTGTTCCCTTCTATTCTAGGTGTTCTCTTCTATTCTACTCCCTCCTATTATCTGAATTCTCTTCTATTCTACTCCATCCTATTCTTTGTAATATCCTCTATTCTACTCCCTCCTATTCTCTGTATTTCTTTTTAAGTGTTAATGCCCTATAATAACGATGTTATCCTAATTATCGAGTAGTTAAATATCGAGTAATCTAATATCAAGAAACTTTTAACCTCAGCCTATAAAACGAGTTTAAATCGTCCCGATTCTGACTCCCAAAACACAACTTAAAACTCCCAAAGTCAGTTTTAACCTTACTATTTTAAGATCTAATACATTTTTGGAAAACCTTAGGTCAGAACACACTTAAGGTGCTTAGTAAAAGCTCATACAATTATAATGCAGTAAAAGAATAAACAGAAAACGAGGGGGGGGGGAAGCTACATTTTATACTTCCTAGTTGCTGCTACATGGTCACCCTGAATATAGTTCAGTATAAGAGCTACATTTTATACTTCCTAGTTGCTGCTACAGAATACTACGGGTTCTGATATCCCTACACCCGGGTTCGCTTGCATTCAGGGTTCATAAATAGTACATGCCTTAAGCGGACTAACCATAGATAAAGATAGATTGCGCATAAGACGACATTTTTCATCTTGAAAGATATAAATGTAGAGAGATGTTTTAAAATTATTCCTATTATATAGATTAACTAGGTCGGTTGTGAACATTGGCTGTTCTTATGTCATTGAGTACTTGTGGTGTACATGAGTTCTGTAAAAAGAAATTTAAGTTAGTTTAGTCCTTCTCATGTCCTTCTTCAGTTCTCGTCAATATGATATATTGCTTAGTCAAATAATTTGATATTCTGAAAAAAAATCACTCCTGAGTGGTTTAATAATTATGAAATCCATTAAAAAACCAAACCACCCCACTTATCATTGAAGCACACTTTGACCCATAGAAGTATGAGTTCTCGGACTGTACAATTCTTAGTGATTTTGCGTACATAAGCTATCTATGTTTATTTATTTATCTATGGGACTAACCAGATTCCCTCAGGCGTGAGGAATACACGTATCATTAGGGGTAGTGCTGAGGGGTGGGATTGCCTGGGGCCAGGAACAACCCCAGCAATTCTCTTTAAATAAATAAATAAAATGATCACCCTGAATATAGTTCAGTATTAAAGCGATATTTTATACTTCCTTTTGAACACTACATGGTCATGCGGAATGTAGCTCAGTATAAAAGCTAAAATTTTATACTTCCTAGTTGCTGCTAGCAGAAAATCTTTGATAAATGCCCTTCAAAATTTTGATTTGAGAATATTTACTTGGAGCAATGCCTTTTAAAAAAATACATAACATAAATCTTTAAAAAGAACATATTCAAATATTGTTAAAATTTCACCTTTCGGTAGTAAATATTGCCAGACTCCTTGATATCCTTGAGTATATTGAGGATGGTGGAGAAGTTGGATTGAAGATACCAATCTAGCTCCAGGTCCTCAGGATGATGCGGGTACACGTCAGGTGTACCGTCATTTTCACAGATACCTAGTTCATAGTTCACATCAGGACCATCTTAAAGGATGTTACTGAAAATGCTTTGAAAAAAATTAAAAATCCGCAAGTGAATTTTTTCAGTCTCACCTTGGTCTTGGTCTGGTTTGATTTCTCCGGAGTTAACAATTGTTACAGGAACTAGAGGTTTGTCCTGACTGTCTCCGGGTAGAACCTGATACAGAGAGTTTTAACGTTATAGTGAATCCCTCCAATAACAGCTGCTGTTTACATCTAAGTAATTCTCCGAAACTACAGTAGTAACTAATATAAAGCGAAATAACTTATCGTCTTCGTTAAAAAAATAGATAGAGTTAATGAATTTTTTAAATTAAGACTGTGGTCTGTGGTCCTCCAATTTTCAAAAACAAGCTAAAGATTGGTAAAATGTCGTCTTCCTAGTCCTCAATTTTTTGGGGTTCACTTTATTATATAAAGCGAGCTTAATAAATTGTAAATGAATTTTCTAATTTCTACCTTTATTGAAAATGTGGATTATTTGAGGCCCACTGTATGTTTTATCCTTACCTCAATATCAGTAAGGATTCCCAGCCCTTTCTTTACGATACCGAACACAACATGTTTATCATCTAGACAATAATACCAAGTGAGGAAATAGATATTTTTGCAAGAATTTACTTATTTTTCTTTTTCATATTTTGCACAAATATAAAAATGTAATATTGAGTATAAGTTCTTTTTGACGAAAATAAAAAAAAGGAAAGAAAGTGGGACATATGGGAGGAAAACTACAAAACTAAGACAATTTGTAAAAAAATGGAAGAGGAAGAAAAAAGGGCGGTTTCAGGAGAGTGAAGTTATCTTAAATATATTACCAAGATGAGGGCAGGATACAGTGGAAATGAAAAACTGGGATCCGTTCGTGTTGGGACCGCTGTTCGCCATTGAAACCTTAAAAACAAATATCATTAAAATATGAATTCAAAGAAAGCACAGTGAGACCAGAAAACAGTGGGATTTCTCTTTAAATTATAAAATGTTGCCTTGGATTTTGTAATTTGCAGCTGAACTAATTTATAAACAAGTTTCCTGTCACCGAATTTTGGGAATTAGAAAGGTTTAAAGATTAATGAGGATTCGAATCGCTGATTCAGGATTTTAACTAGTGGTACTGGCAGTTATTTCGGCGAATTTTTCATCAAATACAGTTTATAACTTCAGTTGCTCGGCCTAGCCGCAGCGCTCACCCCAGAAATTTTCGTAACCTATCCTAACCCAGAACCCTCAAATAATATGATTTTTGGTAAAAATACTTTAAACATGATGGGCGTTAATTTTTAGAAAATTGAAAAATCAGTTCAATTGAAAAAATTTGTATCAAAAGGACTATATATAGTCCTTTTGAACGTTAGTCCAAATGAACATATTAGTCTAAAAGAACGTTAGTCCAATCGATTATTAGTGGTCAATTGATACGACACCGTTCTCACTTTACCTATCTAAGGGTAAGTAAAAAAAGAGACAAATATCAGAGCATAGTTGCAACTGGAAAAATTCAAAGGTTAAAGTGGACGAAACTTTGGATTTTATTTTAATTTATTGATTCTCCAGAGCTGAAAACTTTTTCTTAATCTCCAGATTAATGCTTGTTCTCCCAACAAAATAACGTTTAAGATAATTTTTAAAAACTTTTTAAAGTTCCTGTAAATTGAATTGAAACACAAAAAAGCTTTTAATAATTTATAAAAGGGTTTGATTAACCTGTCCTGCAACTTCATGTTTAAGAAGAAAGTTTTCATCCTCAAATTGTTTCCCGTAAATACTCTCTCCCCCGCTTCCATCAGAGTTCTCGAAATCTCCGCCTAGTTACGTCATAATTATAGTTCTTTCTGTACCTTTATATGTATTTGCTTGTCTGTTAATCTGTCTGTTTGTTCGCAACAAACGCCAAACACCAGTCCAAAATTTATCGTGGGAACTCAACGACCCCAGTGAAGGTTTTCGGATGGTTACAATTAATATTTTTGGCTCAAAATTAAAGATTTATTTTTGTTAAACCACCAATACAAATAGAAAAGTAATTAAGATTTAATATTTTTACGTTATAATGTTTTATACTGTATGAAAAAAGCTGCTGTTAAAGTAAAATTTATAAGCTACAATTAGTAAAAGAAAGAAAGTGCTAAGCACCTTGAAGGCATAGAATGTTTATAAAACAAACAAAAAACTATCTACCTAGTTAAGGTACAAATTCTTTGCTTGAAAACTCCATATTCCTCATTGTATTTTTTAAGTACTCACTCAACAAAATGTAAAAAAAGATCGACATTGCACAAGATAAGATTAAAAGATATTCTTTTTTAAACTTAATGTTGTGTTTTTTTCTCTCTCGAAAATTAAAAAAACAAAAATCATGTTTTGCAAGTGATATAAACGTAATATATCTAACATCAAACACTTTCTTTTATAACGGAACACTGATTAGATTCTTAAATGAATTTATGACAAAATAATTAATGAAATTTACCTTGCAGCATAAACCTATTAATGACCCTGTGGAAGATGGTTCCCTTGTATCCGATCTTCTTCCCCTCCTTCTCCACCCCAATGCACAGCTGACGGAAGTTCTCAGCTGTTCGCGGGACAACATTAGCGAACAGTTCGATAATAATTCTTCCAACAAAGTCATCTGAACAAATAGGAAGTTTTATAATAAATTATTTTTATAAGATGTATACCGTATGTATGTATAGTGACCGACTGATCGTAATCAGTAAAAGAAAAAAAGGTGCAGGGCGTAAGATCCGGGTCAAAACTTTTTCAGCTCCTAGATTGGGTTCAACTTTTTTTGTAAATCCGGATTCAGTTCCTCAAATAATTATAGTCAATAAAAGGAAAAGTAGTAATGTGGTTTGTGGACTAATGAAAAAAAAAGAGTCAAAAAAGATGAAAATTTAAATTTTTAATTTTTTATGAAAAATGTAGTTTGTTTTGGCTCAGAATTTGTTTTTTCTGTGCAAGTCAAAAAACATTCAAAAACTATAAAGTATTTTTGGAAGAATGTAACCCTCTATCTCAAGTTGTAAGCCTTCTGACAACAGCGAGGAGGGGGGGGGGGGGGAGACAAAGTTTGAGCCCCCTGGACAAACCACTGATTACGCCTTTGACTTATAGTAAGATATTATCCTCTAACCTTCGAGGTTGATAATAATAATAACAATTATCAATGACTATGGAAGATCCCCATTGTGGAACCCCCAGAACGCCGTCGGTATAAAAGGCCAGTGCCTATATACGCCTTTAACTAACACTAGAAGCTATTATCCTCTGACCTCCGAGGTTGATATCTAGGAAGACTAGAGGATTATTTGAGGATGAAGGATGAGCTGCTAGAACTGCCTGATTATCTGCTCCTCCCAGGTACGCAGGAGGAAAATCAAACGCCGGTTTGGTCACCTTAAGATTAAATAATTTACAACAAAAAACGTTTACTACTAAATATCAAATTTTGGATGGTGATTTGTTTTTACGGATGGAAAAATTCTTGCTAAAATTCTTAAAAATTGAGAAGGAGGTATCGTTTAAAAAATTAAATAGTTTGTTAAAATGAATTGATATTTGTTAAAAGGACTATAGTCCTGATAAACGTTAGTCCAAATAAACATTAGTCCAAAAGATGTTAGTTCAATCGATCATTATAATATCAATAGGGGTATACTCCTTGATATTAAACCGATGTTAAAAGTAACCCTATATTTCTAATTCGATGAATGAAAAATCTGTGAATCCAACAAATCTGTGAATCCAAAAAAAAACTATTAACAGTATTTCATTTACTACCTTAGGCTTTTTAAAAGGACTGGAGAGTGTCTCGGTGATGGGTTGAGGATCGGCATTGATCCTGGTCTCATCAACACCGAACTCCGTCTCCGAGCTCATAATCGTGTCTCCGTAGTCGTCATCATCTACAAGCTGTTCAGGCATTCCTTCCCCCTAGCAGAAATATAAGTCAGTAGAAGAAGAGCTGTTTGATAGGATTGTCAATGATTACGAATTTTAGGTTATATTTCGGCGAGGTTAACCAAGAAGCACATGTTTGATTTGGAAATCCCTGAGCAGCTAGTGCTTTCTAAATTCTACAGCAAAATTATGATCTTAATATTGGTTAACAAATTAAAAACTCGGTTATTTCCTTGAGAACGATTTTTGGACCCCCTCCCCCCTCAAATTTGTACTTGGATCTCTTATGTAACTCATGGATGTAATTGATCATGTGGCCGCAGCGCCCGGCCCCCTAGCCTGTCCTAGATACGGCGCTCGGCCCCCTAGCCTGCCCTAGCCGCAGCGCTCGGTCTTAAGCTAACCTTACCCTAAAATAATGAAATATAATAATATTTTTGCTGAAAATAAAAAATAAGTGGTGGGGGGAGTTAAAATTCGTTCTCTAGGACGGACCCAAAAACTCGTCAAATGCATCATTTAAAGTTCAGGTTTACAAGTTAAACAATTTATAATTTAAAATAGTCAAATAACAAAAACACACAGCAGTTGGGTCTGAACTTAAGATTGCTTAAATATCGCTTCCCTCTTTTCCGCAGTTAGAATCATGTATGCTCTATTTTGATTGCGTTAGCAAATAAATACTTGTTTATGTTGAACAGAAAAAGGGATCGGATTTGTTTTCTACACACTTATTCTGTGTTCTGAAAGAATTTTAATTTGCCAATTTTCAGGAATCCAACATTTTTAAAGATTAAATCGTGCATATATAGCGTAACTCTATGCCATCAGAATCAAACATTAAACGTTAACATGTTAAACCAATTAAGGTTTTTACATAACTAGCCTAGGAGATCATCTTCAAAATTATTTCATGCAAATCAAATTTTCAATAAATATTGAACTATAGATTTACCTTTTTACACATGCAAACTTCTCATTAATCCCCCTTGGGCCAATAACGGGAATAAAATGATTATCTGAAATAAATCATGTAAATCTAGGTTTTTGTTAAGATATTTAATGAATTGCTTGTTTGGTTTAACACTGTGATAACATATAGCGTATACTAAAAAATAAAATAGTTTTGTTTTTGAATTTTTGTTATTGTTCTGTCAGGGAACTTTTGCCGCAAACGGTTTTAGATATGTCGTCTTTATACTTCATGTTATGTAAGCGTACTTCATACATTTTTCGACCTACTCAAATCCGCTATACTCCACTTCTAACCTACGCTAAATCCGCTGTACTATACATATGACCTTTCCCAAGAAACAAAACACAGGTTTTCAACGAGATTAGCATTATGGAGAACTGGTTGATAATTCACGTACCCTCCTTGTGTTATACTCGTGGTAAATCCACTTTTCACAATCTTGAAGATTCCTCCTGTGTACAGCACGGGTAAAAAACGCGAAAATATTCTTTGAAAATTCTCGTTGTTATTTCACATGTTGTACACGTAGCAAAATAAACCAGTGCAAAATCTTGCATATTCCTATCGTGTTAAGCTCGAGTAATGCAATGCCAGAATTTTTAGATTTTAATGCTCGTAATTATCATGTGTACTATATTTGAGATAATTCTATAGTTCAATTCTCGTAGTTTTTTCACATGTTCTGCTCGTAGAAAAGATACCAGTGCAAGCTCAAACGTGTTAATCATGAATAATGGAATGCCAGAATTATCTAGATTTTAATTCTTGTAAATATAACGCGTAAAATATTTGAGATATCACGGGAAGAATTTAATCTTTCATTTTTAACAGAGTTGCAAAATCACAAGACTTGCAGTGTCTCTGCTCATCTTTTAGAAACTAAAAGTTTATTGTAGTAAAATGAAATATTTCAACTGACATAAATTTTTCAGATTATAACAAGCATGAGCATATAGTATAGAAATTAGTTTCACATTGAATTTTGTATTGTATTTCTCAACAACCCCTTTTTGGAATATCGATACAGGAAGAAGAATTCATATAGGTATGAACACATTAACATAATTGAACATTGTTTAGACTTGAAATATCACTTTGTGATAAGAAAAGTTTAAAGTTTACATGTTCAAGATGTTTAATGTATAAGATATAAACTAATATGTTTAGTTTCTAAACATTTTGTAATAATTATATACTTTTACACAATGTATTTTATAATATTTATATATCAGAAATCAATTATGTATCCCCCCTTTCCCGGGGTTTTCAAAAATGTAATTAAAGTAGATGGGAGAAAAATAATTTTCCCATGTAAAAATCCCGTGTTCATCTTGTGAAATAAACTCAAGTTTTTGTTGTGTAAAAACTCGGTCCTAGACCCGTGATCAAATCGTCGACAATCACCTTGACAACACGTGAATTATCACGGGATAATGACGGGTCACTCGTGTGAAATAAACCAAATAATCTTGTGTTCTTCACGGGTTTTTGTTTGTTGGGTTAACCCCCCCCCCCTACATTTATTTCTGTATACCCCCTTGATTATAGTTGCTTAAACAACTCACGTGGTACCACGTCCAGTATAGTTCAAACGAACAATACGTCCTGCTAACCGAAAAACCTATAAGTATGGAACGTATGACGTGCTAATAGGCCTTAAAAGACAACTTGTATAAAAGCTTGTGTAATTGTCTGTCTCCAATAAAATAATTTGTTATGTTTGTTACAATTAGTTAGAAATGGATCTGTCCATCGTCCAACAATTGCCCACGTATAGGGTCTCCAGCAAAATGGGAAAATTGTTTCGCAAAAAATGTTTGATTCGTCGAAATTTCGCATTGGCCATTCGTAAAAAATTTGGGAAGAAAGTTGAGAAATTTTTCATTTTACTTCGACATAATTTACCTTTGGATTTGTGTCATTCTTCATTCTATACAAGAATTAATCCATGTTTGCAGTCAAACTTGGGCAAACTTTTGGTAAAAGATATCAAAAATCAATTTTTACATTTTTCTTCATCTTAAGACTTAGATAGATTGGTTGGCATCAGAGGCGTATTCAGGGGGGGGGCTTTGGGGGCTATGCCCCCCTGGACCAGTGAAATCTATTGATTTCAGGGGGTTTTCAGGCCCCAACGGGTGCTGACCCCCCCTGGAAAGAGAAAAAAATTTAAGCCCCCCCCTGGACAAATTCCTTAACACGCCCCTGGTTGGCATTGCTTTCTATCGTACGTACAGTGGTAGACAATTATATCAATACAAAAAAGACGACTTTCAATTTAAATTTTGATTTATAAAGCTGTTAAATAGCATGGTTTACATAAACATAGTCACGAGCAGCTGTAAATTTAAAGAGCTTTTCTTATAACTATACGTGTAAACTTAAAACTCAAATAAAATAAAAATTTGGGCTCGATCATAAGTCATCTCATTTTTAAAATGTTCTATATAGTGTACTCCGTCAAAAGCGTTTCTTGACAGTCAATCTTGATGTATACGCTGTTTTTATACATCCAATCTAAATAATAATTTTGTTACTTCTTTCTTAATGCTTGTAATAACGTGCTTTTTAAAGGGATAGACCGGCTATGTAAGGTACAGTAGTTAAACTATAGGTATGCAGTACGTTGTGGATCCAAATTCTTTAGGATTAATTTGAGACATATGAAACGTCTCCACGATGTAGAATTACTGAGTTTGACCGCAAAGTCGACGTTCAAAATCATGAATTTGGGTGGGTACGTTTTCAGAATCGGTTTTTATTAAATCATTAAATAACGACAACGAAGAATAATAATATAGTAAAATTTTTAGTAAACTAATTAGATGTTTAGAAACACATTTATCAAAAGAAATTGGCCAATAAATCTAAGTTAGAATTAATTATTTATATATTTCCTTTTTTATCATTATATATAGAATTTCTTGTTTTCTATAAATTTGTTCGCAGATTTCTTCAAGTTCTTCAAATGTCGTCTTTTTAATAAAAATTCCAGAAAATCTTTGTGATTAAAGAGAGATTATAGAAACTAATTGAATAAGATTACTTATTTTCGATGATAATAATAAATTTTTATTTTCTCAACCTGTTTCTAAACTACTTATTAGTTTACTGCAGTACAATTTTGTCTATGATAATTTAAAAAAAAAACAATTCTGAAAACGTATTCACTCAAAAAAATTTGTCCACGTACAACACTGCATACTCAGTTTAACTACCTTACATAGAAGTAAAATAGTTTCAAGCATGTCAGATATTATAGAAGAAATCTAGTGCCATGTAAGAGATAATTTTCTCCAAAAATCGACATGACTTTTTTTTAAATCTTTGTCTCCTAAACTGAAGTTTCAATGTCTATAAAAAGAATTTTGAGTTTTGATTACTCAATTTGGTAACCTTACAAAGTCATGTTCCAAATTTTGTCTGTGGCCCAGTCACGTGCTTTTTTATTTTCAAAAATATCATTCGTCCAAAAAACTGTTTTATTTAAAATTTTAGTTAAATTTCAATTTTTAATAAAGGCAAAATCTAAATCTTATTTTAATTTCTTCAAAAAAATAATCCAGTAAATTGTACACGATGAAATAACGTAAGCAAACTTTCTGTCCCTTATACGTGCATTTTGACCAAATACAAAAGACAAATCCAAAGGAATCTTTTAATATATTACTCATCGTTCTGTACAATGCACATCCTTGAAAAACAATTATCTCAAAGTAGGATTGATGAATCATCCGATCTGGGAACTTTTGTGTCAGGGGCGGATACAGGATTTAAGTGAGGGGGGGGGCAAGGTTTTTTAGGAACAAAAAAATTCATAATTAGGTACAAAAAATCGCGCCGCCGCGCAGGTGAAATTTTTTTTGACTTAAAAGACTCAAAAAGAGTCAAAATTAATGACTAAAGACTAAAAAACTAGATTTTTAACTTTTCACACATTACAGTTTATTAAGACAGATATTTTTCCTGTTTTGCACTAGGGTTTATTTCCCTTTAAGCATGCTATTGAGAAGCTATTCTTAAAATAGGAACAAAAAATTCCAAATTCAGGGGGGGGGGGCCTACGCCCCTCCCTGAATCTGTCAGGGGGGGGGTGAATGTCCCCGATCGAGATCAAGCATTAAGGATGCATATTATTTCCATCACTTTAAACCCTTAATAAAGACACCGAATGACTGTCTGCCAGACCTGCCTGTAAATCAAATAACACAGTATAGTTACTGCACGCATCAGTGAATTATGTAATTTTATATATTGGTACTGTATTTGATTTAAACAAAATATTAATTATATGTGATTAAAGAAAATAAAGGTTCTTCAGAATTAGGTGATAATTATTTATTATTTTTTAATTATGCAAATAATTCCAAATCAATTAATAAAGAGGATTGTTTACAAATCTGAACTAAAATTGAGAAAACATAACAAGAAAATAAATCATATAACAAATCGTAAATATTTAACAATATAGATACTAACAATTTATCAATTTCAAATCATATTTTAAGCTTTACAACATCTTCTAAAATCATATATGGTAAATTGACTTCGGGTTGATCAGATATTATCATTATAACAACTATTATAATATTAAGGTTTCACAGATAATGTACGATGTTTAGTGTAGATATTTACAAAATAATAGTCAATTTCCCCCCCCCCCCCCCCCCCCCAAAACTCGTCAATTGTGTTAATGAAAAAACAATAATTCATAATAATTGTTAACTACCTAAAATACTAAACGCAGTCTTTATTTTACTACAGGATCAGAACCTGAACTTTTAAATTAGATTGTGCTAAGCCAAAACCTGATATCTACTACAAGATAAAAATTGAAGCTTTCTAAGGAAACTACAAAAGTTCCGACCTCAGAGTCCGAATTTAATGAATTTGAGCCGCGTCTTAAATCTGCTAAAAACCGGTTTCAATTGAGCGTCGGCTTAAATCTAGAAACATTGAACACAATTTTAAGTGGAACCAATCGTATTTAAGACGCGTCTCAAATTGAAGCCTGGATTTAAGTCGACTTTAGGTCTCAAGTTGAATTGACTGTTTCCGCATTTAACAAGATTCAATTTAATTATTTAACTTGACTAAAATGACATCTATGAGTTGTATTGATATAATCAATTCTCCAATCTAAATTTCATATTCAGATTCAGGGAAACAACTTCGGTCATTCGACTATATTTCTTGAAAGGACTGTAGACGTAGCATGGCATGTCCGATTTACTTTGAACGGCAAACTATTTATTTGGTCAAGAATAAGATTTCCATGCGTTTTGCTGTGAAAATTGGTTAGTTTCAAATGAGGTTTCTCTAGAACAATGACTACTGACTAAGATTTTTACTGAAGAAAAATGGAGGAAATTGTCAGAACTAGATGCTTTTCAAGCTAGAAAAACAACGATCTCTTCCACATTATAAATTAGATATAAGTTTACAATCAGGCATGCCTCGTTTATCGTGAAGATTCACTTGAAATTGCACTAACAGTCTCTTTAAGTTTCAAAACTGCAGGAAGTATGCATATTAAAGGAATATGAGTCTTTGTGACAAACTCTCATTTTCTAATACCTATATTTTTGCCACCTGATGGAGTAAACCTTTGATATTTCAAACTAAGATGCTTTCATCTAACAGAATTCATAGTTTGAAATATCTAAGGTCTACGACATTGGGTAGCAAAGATATAGAGATTAGAAAATAATAGTTTGTGACAAAGACTCAATTCCTTTGACACTAGATGAACTAAATACCGGTTCGAGTGAAAAAATTAACTAGTTAATTGTATAATTGTAGAGAGAAACTAAAGTGAAAGAATACCCTTGAAATTACTCCCACAGTTTCTTTAAGTTTTAAAACTGCAGGAAGTAGGCATTGTAAAGACACAAGATATCGATTCAAGTGTAAACATTAACTAGTTGTATAATTATAGAGATAGACTAAAGGGGGTTCGAACCCTCCAGGTAGAGTTTTCAAGTGAGCCAGAAGAGTAAACCAGAAGAATCCACACACTCCCACAAAAATGGTTCGAAGCCTGGGCGGGATCAGCTTGAAGTTGATTGCGGTTAGGAACGGCCAAATACATACTCCAGTCTGAAAGATTACAGTATCCAAAGTTTTTTTTAAGCCAAGACTAACTTAAATAAATGTGCGAGGGGTGTATATTTAATGATTTATCTTCCCCCAGCGCGGAGGGGTGGAAATGAATTTTGAAAATCTGAAGTCGGGGGGGGGGGGGGGGGGGGGAGAATGAAAAATTGGACATCAAAGAAAACCTTGTTCATCCTTTTTGATGCTTTTTACCAAAAATTTTATTTTTCTCCCAAATTAATAAAAAAATTCTTTTTAAAACTATTTACGCTCCACGAAAACGTATCCAATTTGGGGAGTAAAAATGGTTTTAAATAAGAGGGGGGCGGGGAAATTTACACCCCTGATTTAGTGTTTACTTCATAATAATGAACATAAGCTCAGTGTTTTAGAAAACAACATAAGGATATAAGTGTATTCTCCATTAGATATAAGTATAACAACACAACATTAGTAATTATATTGTTAGACTAGAAAATTAACCATTCTTGTAATTATTACTGATTGATATGGGAGAATATATAATATATATTTTGAAGAATATGTTGGTCTGCTAGGCCATTAAACCACTCTTTTGAATGCAAAGCCCAATGTTTTTCCATAATTCAACGATAACTTAACCGTAAACATCCATTGCGAGGAAAAAACAACCTCGGGAGTAATACAAGTGTTAAAAAAAGATCATCAACTTCTTTATTCTAATGGCGTAGAAAAAAATGCCTAACAAAAATAACATGAATGGAAAGACAGAACTATACATAACTAATCTAAAATACTGTATAAAAATAGTTCAATTCTAATATTTGAAGTTAGCAGTTTGTTTAAATACATATCATTAATCACTGGATTTTTGTTAACAGTTTCACTGGTATAATTCATGATTGGTGTGTCAAAATACAGAAAGAAATCTTCCTGAGACAGCCTATGATCTAAAATTTATATGAACCCCCTCCTTGCTGCTTTTCCAGGCTGCTAGGACTGTTGTCCAGAAGAAGCTGCAACAACCAACAAATATGGTTCGTCTGTGAGCAGGTACAAGCTTGAAGTTTATGGTTTGCAAGAACGGCCAGATAAACACACTGGCCTGGAAATTTTCTTTTTGAAATTTGTCTACATATTTAAGTATGAAATTTACAATTGATGGCCCATTAAATATTTTAAAAAGCTCGTAAGTTCAAGATGAGATGCAACACTTTATCTGGAGAAGGAAGCTAATCAGATGTGTATATTTTTAAGAATTAATGATTTATAAAGATTTTGGGAAAAATGAAAAGTTGGGCGTCAAAAAGCAGGTTTTTTTTTATCATTTTTGATTTACGAGTACGATTCTGTACACGAGTAATTTCAAGTGACACTCCATGCAAAGATTACAACGCCCAGTTCACAGTGGTACCCCTAGACTAAAACCTGTTTCTGATCAAAAATGTGGAAGATTGCACCCAACAAACAAAGGCTTAAGTTAAAGTGGAATTTAACGTCACTTTTGCCATCCAGAAGTGGAGTTCAGTCGAGTTTCAAACATAAACTCTGCAATTACTTTCTAATTCATACTTGATCAGACAAAGCTGAAATGATAAATATGGTATGTAATGAGTAATGATCAATGTCGCCTATTTGTGCATAATTTTGCGTATTTTTCTTTTTTCTTATGTAAAACTATTCAAACAATTTTTTAAACAAATATAAACTTCACCATTTATTTATGTATTTATTTCTTTGTGTGTGAATAAATCTATATAATAATAATAATTGTAATTCCGACATGGAGGGTCACTTGAAATTACACTTACAGTCCCTTTAAGTATATTAAAAATATGTTATTCAACTATAAACTAAAAAATGATTAAATACTTACTGCCCAGGTGTCGAGGAATTTCGCATTCCACTCCTCATAGATCCCATTGAAATCCTTCCCCTCGAGAGCGGATAATCCAATATAGAAGGAGGATAGTCCTACCGGAGCAAAACAGGTTTGGTCCATTGCCACCTTAGCGAACAGATGGGTCAAGTTGTTCTTAGGAAACAGTCTTGAAGCGAGGCGTAACCAGTTATATACAAGTGGAGCATGCATAAGTCCTCCATAAATCAGAAACCTAAAAATATTTTTATTCTCTAATGAAAACTTTTTGCAAAAGATTGAAAATACAGAGTTTATCAGAAACAAAGTGACTTCTGAGACGACCTCCAGCAGAGCCTTGAGAATAATTCTTGGTTGTAAATTAAATTATTTGACAAAAAAGGTAACAGTTGTAAAATAAGTCGTCTCTGAAGTCTCATTCTTTCTAAATATCCTTATCTAACTAATCTCAATTCTACTTGAAGGCATAGAGTTTTTAAATTGATTTTTAAACTTTGGAGAAAAAAAACTACAAGCTTCCAAGGAGGAGGGGGGGGGGGGGGNAAGTTTAATTACATCGTATAGTAAAAAAAATACTTTAAAATCGCACTTTTGCCTTAAACTAAAAAGTTTCATAAAAAAAGCTTTTATTAATACTGCCTTCAGTGTAAATATGTATTTGATGTCACTGTTTCAATCCTATGTATCAATCATACGAAAATATAGATATTTTTTATTAATTTTTTTCACTTTCCAATTCTATTTTTCACCCCTTAAGGCTTACACCACAGTATTAAAAAGGAGTTCTGATAAGTCCACTTAAGAATATTACATAAATAATTTATTAACACTTAAAAAGTGTGTATATAATCAATTTGTTTACCAGAACATTTTTAAAAAAGGTATTAATATTTTTTCAAAAAAGGGGTTTTTAAGGGGGGGGACCAAAAAATTTTTTTGCGCACTTACGCGCGCAAATCGTGACCCCCTTAACTAAATAAAAGCCCTCGTACGCTCCTGTACACATTGAGGACGCAATATACACATTGAGGACGAACTATTCACAGAGTAACATTGAGGAAGCACTATGCACAATGAGGACACAATATACACATTAAAGATACAATATACACATCGAGGACACACTGTTTTATACATTGAGGACGCACTATGCACAATCAGGACACAATATACACATTGAGTACGCACTATACTCATTGAGGATGCACTATTCACAAAGTGCACACTATACACATTTAGGACGCACTATACACAAAATTTACGATCTTATTTATCATTTTAATAATTTATCCTTATCATTATATCATATAAAATACAATACCTTGAGGCCTCATTCCAGTCAATTTTATCTTCTGGATTCTTGTTCCTTATGTACTTTTGTTGTACAAGGTTGGCACCAGGGTACAGCACACTGTACGTCAACATGCTGGGTACAACAGGGTAGCGTCTGAACACGGCAAACAGCTGTGAACTCATATTGTAGGTTTTGTTGAAGCTGCCCAGGTCCCAGTTAAGAAATGTGTTTTGTATTCAAACAAAGAAGGTCAATGGAAGAAAAACAACAAGAATTGATCGTCAAAGTTTGTAAATAAGAATATATCGGCCATTTTTGTGCTGTTTAACCCTAGCTAGGGCCTAGGTCTGTCATAAAGTACATGTATAATTATATGTAACACATGACTGTTATATCTGGTTTTTTCTCTCGTCTGCTGATAATATTTTTCAAGTTTTTTGAAAATCAGCTGAAATCAGACCTTGAAAAAGTCGGTAGTATTTTTCGTAAAATATTTTTACATTTTAAAATATCTAGCTGCTGGTAAAATTGTTCCTGTTATAATAATATTTAATAATAATTTTTTCATTTGTCGACGTTTGCGGGTTCTTCGTCGGCGTCGTTCCTAACTTGGCGGAGGGGGGGATAGATAAAACTCCTAAGAATGCGCGAATACCGGATAATATTTCTTAAATTCTCTCTCTCTATGACAGCTTGCCATGACAGCTTGTTTCTATAGATAGTTTGATTTTAATTTGATACGAATGTTAATGATTTATATTATGACTGTGAGACTGGTTGGTTTAAATTGATTTTTAAACTTTGGAGAAAAAAAACTACAAGCTTCCAAGGAAGGGGGGGGGGGGGGGGTGGAGTGGAAAGAAAATTGCTGATTTGTTTATCTTAATTTGTACTTTCCTCTCTCTCTCTTTGTTTGCAAATTGCAACTAATATACAATTACAGGGTGTCCCACGAAACATGACAGTGGTAAGACGACTTTAGAGTTGTGTTCCAAATTTGAATTAGTTCGTTAAGAATTTCGTTCAGATTTCATTTTAGTTCAATATAACCTAATTCAAAACAAAATTCTGTATTCTCAGGTATTATCGAAAGCACAAAAAAAGGCAGACCACATTTAGGAAATGCCAAGACTAGGCCCTTGGGGTACTTTGTGATTATAATCGCTAGAATTCTAAATCTAAAATTAGGTTTACTTTGACACCCTGTACAATGTACATTTATTAAAAGTAGAGAACTCTCTGTATCCTTTATATATAGCATGGCATTGTTTATCATTATTATCATTATGCATTGCAAAACAAAAGGAGGACGCACTATGCACATTGAGGATGCACTTTATACATTAAGGACGCAATCGGCGCGACATATTGAGGACGCACTATTTACAGAGAAAACACTATCACATTGAGGACGCACTATGCACAGAGGACACACTTGAGAACGCACTATGCACAATAAGGACCCAATATACACATTTAGGACGCGCTATACATTCAGGGGCGCCGCCCCCCTCTACGCGTGCCCCCCCCTGAGAGGCTGAGAGGGGGCACCCATGAGGGAGGCTCTTTTAATATTACATCTGCTTGCATTTCCCTTCCTCAGGCCAGGCACAGTGGCTTACCTAGGGGGCAGTAGTGCTGGTGCCCCCCCCTGGGGGCTCCCGACGGGGCACTGCCCGAGTTCCAAAAATAAAAATTAAAAGGAAACTACGTTTATAAAGTAACACCTGACATTGACAAAGACTAAAGATTTGTCTAAATTCACTGTTAATTCAAGGAGAGAAAAGTTTTAGCCTTCTAAAGAGAATACTTCATTACACAAGATGTACTATGACGGAGAGGTGGTGTATTTTTCGACCTACACATGTCCGCCATACTCCACTGCTGACCTACGCCAAATCCGCTATACTACACATCCGACCTACTAGCACGTGGTATTACAGCTGCTTTATTGACTTGTGGCCGCAGCGCCCGGCCCC